GTTGTTGTTTCTTTTTTTTTTCTTTTTTATTGGAGGGAGTGTTTAATTTAATGGTTGCTCTCTTCTAACATCTGTCATCTTTGGCACCTATATTACCTAGCTGTGTTGCAAGTGGCGAAAAACTTGACTAAAACAACTTGGAGTGTTCGCTGCGAGGCCAATTGAATTACTGTAATCATGTGTAATGATTGGAATCCCTGTTGATTCGATTTGGACGGCTAGACAACTTGAGCTAGATCTAGTTACTGGAGTGCGGTCAAAAAATTGGTGGCGCAACTCATCGTCAAATATTTCTTAAACTCTTGAACACTCTCCAGCTTTTGCACAGTGACTTGTATCAATTTGTCTGAACTGATGTCTAAACACCTGTTAGCTGTATTCTGGAAATGTCCTTAAAAATACTAATAAAAAATCCTAGTGGGTGGTTTCTACCCATTTTAAAAGGTGTACAGCTGGGACAATATCGCTTTTAAAAACGAATTCAGAAGAGAAATAAACTTGGCCATAGACGAGATGACGTTGGTAAAAAAAGGTGGACATAGCCTAGAACAGTTATACGCTTACTTGATATCCTCTGGGATATCACCCACTGATGAGCCAAAATATTTGGTAATTTCCCTGCCGTAGAGCTACAAAGGTTTATCTGACGTTTTTGGCCATTTTGAGTACCTAAGTCCATGAGGTCAGAAACCAAAATGTTGTATCTGCTCTATCAAAATGATAAGATTGTTCGGAGTCGTTATCAAGATATTCAAAGAGTCACATTCGAAAAAGCTTGACATATGAAACTCAATTCTTTTCAGAACTCAGCACTGAACAGATAGAACTTTGTAATTATAAGGTAACATGGTATCATGTAATTCTCCGTTAGGAAATATACTATGTTTGAGGGCAGTACGCACATTTTAGTCTCATAATTAAAGTTGGCAAAAGTAAGCGCTAGCTATAAAAAGGCTGACAAGCACCGGTACATGTATAACTCGACTCAAAACCTATCGTGACACAAAACTTGCCCCCTGCGTTTCCAGTGTTGTCTTGTGGCTCTCCGATGTGTGTATAGGGCCATAAAAGTCCCAAGTTTCTTTTTTCCCGGCTGGGGCTTGGGGTGGGATTTAAACGTAGTATAAGAACGTATAGGGTTTGATGCCAGGGGGAGGGGTGGGTGGTGGTGGAGAGAGAGAGAGAGAGAGAGAGAGAGAGAGAGAGAGAGAGAGAGAGAGAGAGAGAGAGAGAAGTTTGCCTGTACTGCAATGTAAGCAAACGGCAAAAAGCAGGTGTGGATGATTAATTCTGTGTCATCATTACTACTTTAATGTGTTTTCGTCTTCCTTGCTATGCTTGTTCTAGTGGCACTGGGTGGGTTATAAAGATGGCCCATGTATGAAGGGTTTGCTGTTAACAAACATAATAAAGTCGCTCATATTATTATGGATTCGTAATTACTGACAAGCAAGTCAAATGCACATACAAAAAGACAGTGTGCATAATATATAGGATTCAAAGTTAAGCTTCAGTAAGAGTTTTACGGCACTTGAAACACGATAAGGTTAATATAAGTGCCGTTAGATTCAAAATTACTTTAAACTGCAAGTGGCAATATCACGTTTGAAACCCGAATAAAAGAAAAACACAACCATGAGTTAGTTCTAGTCTTAGCTCAAGCTAGAGCCGTGGAAGAAAAGAGGTGAAGGGTGACCAAGCATGAGGAGAAGAGGGGGTGGAGTGGAGGAATGCAAGTGAGAATCCATTCGGCCAGTACGCGTCTTGGTTTGGAGCCGTTCGTCACTAAGTGGGTGGATGCAGCTGCAGCCCCGGCCCTAGTTTGAAGTGTGAACCTGCAGTCTGTCTGTTTGTCTTAGTACTGACGAATGTAAGGTCCACACCCGTTACATTCAGTCTGTGGGAATAGTTTTAGTAAGAGATTTACAGCACTTGCAACACAATAAGGTTATTAAATAAGAGCCCGAATATTAGAGGTGTTACAAGAGAGTGACAAGCATAAAAAGGAAGAAGAGAAGGAGAGATTGGGACGATAGATGTTTAATAGGAAAGAGGGACCACACCACACTAGAGCACCCGCCACCCACCCACTTCATTCTCCCAAAATCCAAGAAAATAGTAGTAAATAGTGGTAAATAGTAGTAATAGCAAAAAATAGTAGTAAATAGTAGTAAATAGTAGTAAATTATAGTAAGGGCCTAGACCATTCAGAAACTTTTCGAGTTATGCCCCCCAGCGTCGTGGTGACAAGATATTTTCCGACTTTGAAAATCACTTCGGTCAAATATTTTGCGCTGATTGTGGTCAGCAAAGGTAGCTTTTTCAGTGAAGAGATCCATATGGGGATTAAACTGCAATCTAAATCCCACCAGTGGCCACTCCTTGCATTTTGCTTTCCATTACTGGTTTTAAGAAAACCAATTAATGTAAGGGAGATGCCAAGCGAGATATGATCCCGCTCTTCCTGTCTTTATTTTACTGTACCTCATTGATATTGCTCTTCTTTATTTATTGTTTGTTTTTGTAGATTAATGAAAAAGACGATAACAACATTTTTTCCGAATTCTCAATCAGCATTGGCCAAGAAAAACAATCTGGTCTTTATTATGATATCATTTCCCTTATTAACGAAGGGAATGAATGAACTGGCTTGCTAATCAAAGGAATAATTAACGTAGTTATGGATTACATCGATCAAACTTTTGCTGATGAATAAAAAATATCAGTGCTTCTTCCGCGTTTTACTAAATCATAATTATATCTGTTTGTGAGGCGCATTAAAGACTCAGTCGACATCGTGCTGGACTACAGCGCGGGTGGTCCTGATTCTAATCGCCTATGGGGCGCATTTGGGTGGGGTCGGGTCGCTTGAGAAACCGTTTGAAGGCACCCCGTCCATTTGGTTCTGTCATGTTGGAGGTTGGTGACAAATGTCTGTAAGATGACAGTACTGTTTTTTTGTGTATTTTTGTAAAGTGTTTTACGGCGCTCGCAACTGCATAAGGTCATATGAGCGCGCGGGACACACTAATCATTTTCAGGT